AAAGGTAAAGGCATTCTAGAGAATCTAGATGCAAAGCATGCCCCTTGCTCTCAAGGATCTTTTACATCCAGCAGGGAATGGGATGTACACTGTGTCTACTTACAAAAATATTGTGGACAACAAATTGAAAGAAGTGTTAAGGAAGTATAGAAAATGGCAAGGCTATATCCAAATATGGGGTCAAGATTGGTATCAAGATGGAGGTAACATTTGAGGGGGAGGAACATCTGGGAGGAAGGAAAAGAGTAACCAAAAGCATGGAATGGGAGAAAACAGGAATTATTATGGGAGAGTAATTTGTCTGGTTTGGCTAGAACATAAGCTTCATGAAGGGAAATAGTGGAGGCTAGAACTGAAAGACAGGTTAGGGTCAGATCGTAAAAGGCCCTGAATACCATGAGGGGAAAAACTTTATTCTGTAGGTATGTAGAGCAGGAAATAGAAAACTGTGTCCTTGTAGCAGATCCAATAAAAATGGTGACAAACGTTTATATTTTCATCTCTCAACATACATTATCTCATTAATGCCTTACAGTAATTGAACAGTGTTCTATGTTCATTTTACACATGAGAAACTGAGGTTCAGAGAGATTAAGTAGTTGCAGAGGTCAAACTGATGTTGCTGTGTCTCAGACACAGGTCTCTCAGGTTCTAGAGCCTGGTCTGTTTACCACCAATTTACCTGATAAACTCTTAATCTTTGTCAAGAATTCAGCTGTTGGGAAAGACATTTTCAGAGTGTTAGGAGGACTGCTACTCAATGTGTAATCATCTTCAGGCGTATAATCACTACCAATCCTGCCTTCTGCCTTTCTCCAATTGGGGACCAGAGCTGGATGGGAAATTGAAGAGTTGGATGATGCTTTGTTTACATGACTGATGACATCATTACATGCTCTTAGCAGATGTTTTGGTTTTCGTTTTCAATGTCTAACCTTATTGGCCCTAAGTAAATCTTAGGTTGGGTCAAGCTCAGTTGCCAGGAGCATTTAAGGTATATATAAAAGTGATATTTTTTCTCACTAAAATATATTTCTTCTCCTCAGGTTTTCTACTTATAAAAGACAATGACTACTGATGAAGGTGCCAAGAACAATGGAGAAAGCCCAGCAGCTGCTGTTGCTGAACGAGGAGAGGATATTACCTCCAAGAAGGACAGAGGTGTATTAAAGGTGAGGCTACAGGGATGAATGACATACA